TGATAAATCATCAGATAAACTAGAAAAATAAAATATACAGTACCATTTAATATTTAAAATGAAACATCCACAAATCACAACAGCCTGGAATTTAGCAGTGACTGCAATTTAGCGGTGATCAAATTTAAATAAAAAAAATTGCACCTTCTATATCTTATTTAAATCTTATTCAGTATTAATATATATAAATCAGATATAAATATAAAAATTATATGCTCACAACTTTAACTCAGATATTTATATAAACTTAAATACCAGAGGTGTTTAAAAACATACAAAAACTGTTTTAAATCACTAATAGTTATTTTAAAATAAAACAAAAATATTCTAGCTCTAACATATTTTAAGTCATATCTTTTTTATCATTGTTTTTATCATCAATTAACTAATGTTTAATTTGAAACATTAGCATTTTTAAATAAATAGTTCTTTAAAGTTTTCCCCTAACAAAAATCTGATTTTAATGTTTCGTTCAATCCATAAATTGCTTTACTTTAATTTTTAATTGGATGATTTTAAGATTACCGCTCTTTTTTAACTATTTAGTAACTATTATTTTAACTTTGTTTTTTATGTATAATACTTGGTTTTAAACAAACAATAAAGTATGTAAGTTTTTACTTTTATTATTTTTGCAGCCACAAATTTGATGTTTTGTTTTTCATAAATTTTTGCATTAAGATAAATTAACCTTTTCATTAAAAAAGTGTTTACAGCTTTTAATGAAAAAGTAGCTGAGATTGGACCCATAAAAATACCGGTCTTTGTAAGTCTTTTCCAAACCAAGCTTTTCTGTACTTTTTCCTTATATATCCTATCTTTCCGGATCCGTCAAAAACAAGACTTTACCAAATCTACCATTTCTATACATATCTATTCCATGCCGATTATTTATATACCTATTCCTTATTTACATCAATATTTTTTAGTAAAACAATTTATTCTGAAAAAAACATTCAAGAGCAAAAAACTTAACATGCACACCTTTTCTGCATACATAGAACTAATAATTATGTTTGTTTTTCTGCTTTCATTGACAGCTTAGTGGTTAAGTACGCTATCATCAGTCTTGTTGTTGTTGTTTTTTTGGGGGTTTAAGACCTTCCCTCAGCATAATAAATTTTAAAATTTTTTTCAATCTTGCTTATATACTTATAGCAAAAAAAATAATAGTATAGCAAAAAAAGGTTTCTAAAATTTAAAATAAAATTTTAAGTTTTTTCATTTTAAAGGGATCACCAAGTCCTGAGGCATGTTGTTGTTCGTGTTAAAAACAATGTTAAAAAAAAAACGTCTGAGCAAATTTTTTTTGATTAAAACTAATTAATAAATGTATACCAAGGAAAACAAATCTTGTTGTTTTAGTTGAAGCTTGTCTTCTCCATTTTCTGCGGTATTTGAAGTCTTTAAAATAAACACGATTTTCCAGGCGCATTATACAGACTTGAAAGTTTATTCAAGTGCGTTTAATTCATAGGAGTTTTAGTACATGATGTCATTGGAAACATTATAGAAGTTCTTTAAAAATTTTACTATTAAATTTTACTAAATCATAATCATAAGAATGAACTTATTTTTATGTTTTATTTATTACAATAGTAATATTTAAATAGTTTTTGTCTTTATTAGAATATATCCCATAAAAATATATTCCATTTATCTTTAATAGAAGGAGTTTTTAAAAAAAATTAAAATTAAATCTTATTTCTAGTTTTTCTAGTTTTTTGCCACAAAGTGACGTTACATATGCAAAAAAATTGTGGCTTCAACAATTTACGAAAAAGTCTTGTCTATCATTTTTAAAGGTCTAAGAAGCTGATTATGTAATTTTAGCAATCAGAAATTAGCAAAATAGGGGCAAATCTAAAATTGGAGTTTCAAATTTTTCACTTGGATTATGTTTCGTGTTTTTTCAATCTTGTCAATTTTTTTAAATACCTACAAAAAATCAAAACAAAGCAGCTTGAGCAAAAAAGACTTTTAATTATTAGAAAAGTTTACTTATATTATATGCGATCCTGAATAAAACGTTATATAAGTGGATTTTTTACATTTTATAAACAATATATATAAACTAATAACATGTTTGTTTATATATGTATTGTTTATAGAGGGATGGCTAAGCGCAACAAAGTTTAAAAAAAAAATTAGTTAATATTAAAATTAAAAAATGATTTATATGTTTTTTTGCAAATATCAATACACTATACTTAAAATTTATAAGTGCGCTGAACTGCAATTACTTTTATTTTTTTTTTGGTTTAATGGCTTTTGTTAAGAGCTTTTAAATTTTGCGTCAAATTATCTCATTTCAACATATTCATTGTATCATCATTTGCAGCCACTTTTCAAAACGCCTTTTCAAAAGGCAAAAAAAAGAAATTTGACTTTTTTACAAAATAAGCTAGTTTAGATGTTTACAAATGTTATTGAGTACATATTTTCAAAGAGTTCTGAAAAAACTTTTAAAAATTATTCATTTCAAAAAAATTTTAAAAAAAGTTTCTCTTTATAATTTTTTTTTAATTGTGTTTTTCTCGAAATATGTAATAAGCATGTCATGGCGTTTTGAAAAATGGCTGCAGCATATATTTATAGTAATAAAATTTATGTAGCAAAAAAAACTTTCAATTATCAAAAGAAAGTTTTTTCTAGCTACGGTTTTTTTTTTTTTTTTTTGAATGTCTCCACAGCAGTATCTTCTGGAGTAGCAGGACTGCTACTCCAAAAGTAAGTTTTTTCTTTACTAAGTTTCAGACAACTTTTTTTTTAGACCATTTGCAGCTTATTAGGACTAATTACCTGAGCACATTAACACATTAATAACATAAGTTTCTCAATCATGACACATCTGCAACAAATTTTTTCTCTCAGTGTTTTGATGTTTTTAGAAATTTTAGCTTTTTTAAATTCTTTTTGTTTGTTAAAGTGTATAGCATTGTTACATATGTTTGTATATATATAATCTCTATAAAACTTCAAAAGTATTTTGTATTTTAAAATAATAGAAAAAAAAAGTTGCCAGTAATAGGACTCAAACCACGGCTTACTTGTTCAGAATCTTGGAGCGCTATCCACTCAGCCGCGCTAGCATGTTGTTAAACTAAAATTTTTAAAACTATATAATAATTTTTTTAACGGAAATAAATGTTATAGATCAAAATTAAGGAGAGCTTGGCGCAATGCAGTATTCAAGTGAATATCAAACTATAAAACATGATAAATGTTTCAGTATGTTTTAACATTACTTAATTTGAAGTTTACGTACATTATATATTTGCATACACGTTTGTTCACGTTTTCTTATAAAAAAAAGTGCTGCAACTCTTTCTCGCCACTAACTCGGTTGCAATGGCTGCCAAGGGTTCCGTGTCAAACCTGTTCGAAGAGGCGCTACTACTAACACTATTATGTTCGGTAATAATATATAGAAATGATAAAACTGAGAATTTGAAGACCAGAGGTTTTTGCAGATATTGGAATTCAAGATCATTTAATTGAAACCTTGTCAGTATTATGAATAATAATAGAATACTAAATAAAGAATAATAAACTATAATAATATCTCTGTTTTTATTGTAGTAATTTTAGATTAAAAGAAAAAAAATTACTATCAGACATCATATGAGGAATAAATATATTATTTCCTACTTTACATTTTTCTGGAACAATATTTTTTTTAATGATAAGTGATTTACATGCGCGAGGACAAGGTTACAATAAAAATAGAGAACTATCAATAAGCAAGAGCTCAAACAAATATAGTTGAGTCTTTGTTGTACAGAAGCAAAAATACTAATAGAGTAAAAAATATTTTATTGAGTAAAAACTATGTTTTTCTATCAGAGATGTTTATAAATGCAATTAAATTTGAATAAAAGACAACTTAAAATTTAAAGTTATGAATTATCTATTAATTACATACGCTCATAAAGAGGAGGGGGACTGCCAATAGTGTTCAAAAGTGTATGGGGAAAATGTTCAATATAAAGGTGTGCGCACTAATTTAAAAAAATATTCTCAGTTTGTTTTTCTAATTTATCATAATTAAACACTAGTTAATAACTAAATGTTTTTAAATATATAACAACTTAAAAAAATATGAATGTCACTCTGATATGACAGTTGGCATTGTTCTTGCACTTAAAAAAAGGGGAAAAAAAGAAGAAATGCCATATAGAATATTGAATTATACTAGAATATATTACAATGTATATTAAGATATTGAATTATATTAAAATATGTAATTAAATATCGTTGTTCATAACTTTGTGACGTTAAAAAATAAGTGCCTTAAAAACTCTTATTCATCTAGTTTTTTTCCTTGACATCAGTTCATTGGAATACCCTTCCTTCGTCTTGCTTTCTTGATTTATATAATTTGCACTTAAGTTGTCTGTCAATCATTATCTTGCTTTATAAAATTCTTCTTTTCTCTTCCAGTAACTTTCAACTCTAATAGTGGTTGCTCGCAGCCTTGTTGGAAGCGAAGATGTTGAAAAAAAAAAAAAAACTAGTCAGTCCTTAAGTTTTTGTTAAAGTCTTTATGAATAATTTATTTTGTGAAGTTTAGGTAAATATATTTTAAAAATTTTATTTATGATACAACACACAACTTCTCCAGTTTTTTATCATCAGTTGGTTTATTTTTCCCAGACTTTGATTTGTTATTTATTCATAACTGCCAAACTCAGCCAACTTACTTCAAATTTAAAAACATAGCACTTTACCAACACGCAAATGTTTACAAAAACTTTGAGTTAATATTCCAACATTTTGTGTATCGGCATATTTTGAAATAACAAATTGAAACATTTCTCAAAGCATTTTAAGTTTAAAAAAGTAATTTAAAAATAAAAAAACTTCTGGGTTTCCTCTCTCTCACGCAACACTAATTTCACTTTCTTATTAAGAACAAATTTTTTAAATCCACTTACCATTTATTAATTAACAAAATTATTGAATTTATATTAGCAAAAACTATTTCTTGTACTTTTTAGCAAAGGGACTTGAACATGTGGCAGAAAAAATACTATCATATCTAGATGCTAAATCTTTGCGGGCTGCTGAATTTGTTTGCAAAGAATGGCATCGTGTTATAGCTGAGGGCATGCTTTGGAGAAAACTTATACATAGAAAAATTGTTAATGATTCTTTATGGAAAGGCTTAGGAGAAAGAAGAGGATGGTAAGTTGACTTTTTTTTTTTAACTTAAATGCTTTAAGTTATGTTTAGTATTTTTTGTTTTTTTAAATCTTGTCTGATTAATGAGCTTTGAAGTTAATCTTTGACACAAATAAAAATAAATATCTCTGAAATAGCTCAAAAAAATTTGCTAAAAAAAAACAAACAAAAGTAAAACATTGCAAAAAAAATTTGAAATAAATATTATGTAACTTAGGCGTCAAAACACATAAAAACAGTTCATGGTAGATATATATTCTTTATTCTACCTTTTATTCTTTGTATATACTATTATATAGGTTTATTTTCTGTGGTATAGAAATGGTGTTTTGATAATCTTGTTATATATGAGTGTTCAGTGTGTTAGCCAGCTCAATGGTAAAAAAATTATTTAATTTATCTACTGCAAGCTTTTACAGAACAGAGATTAGATTAGGCTTTTACAGAACAGAGATCAGATTAAAAATTGGCTGCTTGTTCTAAGCAATCAAAAAGTGAAGACTTTTTGTCAAGACAAGAGTATAAAGTTGAGTTGTAACCAAATAGAGCCACTTTAATTTTCATGAAGATCATTATTATAGATAAGAAATAATACAGGAGCAATGATAGAACCTTGTGGTACCCTTAAAGTTACTCGAAAAGGAAAAGAGTGTAAGCCTTCAAGAATAACTTTGATACTGCAGTTAGAAATAACTAATTTAATAATCTCAAAAATTTTATATAAAGAAACTAATAATAGAGTGAATTAAAATTGAAGAGAAAACTTAAAATTGAAGAGAAAGAATAAAAGCTTCCAAACTTTTATTCCTAAATAGTAGTAAGAAAGAATAAATTATAATTTTAAAGAAAGTAATAGAAGTAAGAAAACTCGAAGAGAGTGCCTTACGTGTTGTATGAATAAGCTTTAGTTAAGAAAAGAAAATGCTCTATATTGTTTATATTAGAGAAACAGCATAAAAGAGGAAAGCTAAAGCCTGATGATGATCATGGTTATGATGATTATAGTAATTATGACTATGATGATCATGTTGATCATAATAATGTTTATATATGCATACATTAACAAAATATAACATAAATTTTGAATAGAAAAAATATACTTTAGGATGTATAAATGTTTGTGCAGCTCTGGTCACAACCCTGGCCCCAGCTATATTTTATCAAACCTGGCCCTGGCCCCAGTCAAATATCAACCCTGGTTGCTTACTAATTGTTAATTTTAAAAAATTACTAATTTTAAACTGTTTTTTTTTTTTTTTTTTTTCTTTTTTTTTTTTTGTTTCAGTTTATATTTGCTTATCTTTAACTTTCATTAAACTTTTTTATTAATTGTACTCTGACAAAAAAAAAAAAAAAATCCTTATCAGAATTATCTTCATCAATTCTAAATCCTTTGTTTTAATAATGATAACATTATTTAATATTGATAACATTTTGAAAATGATATATACATTATTTTTTTATTAAAGTGTTTATAATCGACGTTTATCATGTTAATTACCAACATTTATCTTGTTTATTAACAACATTATAATAGAAATTAAATAAAAGTTTAAATCACCTTGTTGCTTATGCATAAAATACAGGGGCAGCACTTTGTAGAATCAGTGCCGTTTAAAGGTGAGTGAAAAAATAATTTTGCTTAATGACCCAGTTTAAAATAGAGCTTTTACAAAAATATTGATTTTAGATATTTGATACTATTTTTTGTCTTAGACATCCATTGACCACAAAATCGGCATTAAACTTCAGTTTTAGTAAATGTTCAACTTGCAAAAGAATGACAAAAAGTGACATTCTAGCAAGCAAAATTATAATTTTGTGAAGTTTACTATACAAAAGAAAAAGAAAATTGCACAATATTATCATCCTAGTTTAAAGAAATTTTTCTTTTAACTTTTTTTTTAAATAATTAAAAAAAAAATTGGTATAAAAATTTGAAAGAATGCATAAGATGTTTATTTAAATACATAGATGTTTAATAATTTTCATAAAATCAATGACAATATTTAGTCTATTAGTTTGATAATGGTAAATAAATTAATCGTTTTGCAATATAAACCATATGATTTTACTGGCAAAAAAATAAACAACAATAACAAGCCTTTTATTAAGTTACAGCAAACTTGACAAAAGAGTTAATTTTTAACTAATTTTTTTATTAAATTTGTTCATAATAATTTGTATGATGTATCACTTATTTTTATAATTTTAAATAAACAAAATTAATAAGGTTTATGTTGATTTGGATGAAGATGGTGTTTAAACAAAATGATAGTTACTTTCCTTTAATAATGACAAATGTCTTGTGATGCATTACAGAACCAATAATCAGATTTGGGAATAAAATTTATATATAATCTCAAGTGGAAACATCAGATTATAACATCCTTATCAAAAGCATATTTAATCTAAGGTCAAATCAAAAAAAATTTGTGCATCACAACAAAAATTTACTTAAGTTACTAAATAAATTATTTGTGTGATCACATTGAATTTGCTGCTTCAGTTTAGTCTTTAAACATGAAAGGAGATATTAATAATCTGGAAAAAGTGCAAAGATGAGTTACTAAAATAGTTCCCAGCCTAAAAAACTTTACATATAAAGATCGGTGGTTTTATGTCAATTACATATACATGTCAAGAATTATTTGCCAATGTCATATATGTCAAGTACATATATTTAATAATTCAACTATTTAAGATGCCAAAGACTAATTTAAAAGGGGGAAAACCCAAGCTCATTAGATAAATTAAATCAGATAATCTCTCTTTTTTTTTTTTAATTTATATTTATTGCGCTAAGTTTAATAGAATGTTTTATTTTGAATGTAGTAAATTTAATTATGTTTTAATTTTGGATTTCGAGTTTGAATTTCATAATTTTAAAGTTTTATTATTTTATTATTATTTATTATATTTTTTATATTTTTTATTATTTAATATTTTGCTATTTATTTGTTTTTTTTTAAGTTTTCCTTTGAGAATTATATATTAAAAACATTTTTTTAGGATTAACTTCTTGAATAAATATTCACAACAAGCCAATCATTCTTATTTTCGTAATTTATATCCGAAGATTGTTCAAGACATAGAAGTTAGTTTTTCATTTTAAGATTTTCATTACAAAATTTTAACTTTAATTCATTTTAAAATAAGATTAATTAGTTAAAATAAGATTTTTTTTTGTTTGTTTTGTTTTTTGACATAGATATAAATATAGTCATAGAATAAAGATAAGTTGAAGTCATAGACATAGATATAAATATAGTCATAGAATAAAGATGAGTTGAAGTCATAGACATAGATATAAATATAGTCATAGAATAAAGATAAGTTGAAGTCATAGACATAGATATAAATATAGTCATAGAATAAAGATGAGTTGAAGTCATAGACATATATGTGTTATTAAAAATAAGACATAAAATATTACTAAAATAGTATAAGTAAAAATTGCGAAGACACCTATTATAATTTGTTAATAGATGTACTTTTGCAATAGATGTAATGTATGTAACTTTCTCTTTAAAAGTAGTAAAAAAGTATGTTTATTTAAGTTTTTAAACCTTAAAAAATTGTTTTAGATATAAGGACTGATTAAAATTAATTGTTTTGATTCTTACGGTTGAAAACCATTATAACCATTATGATAAATTTGTTGATAAAACAAAAATAAAAAAACAAGATAATAAAATAAAATAATAGAAGCAACACAAAACAATAAAAAAAAAAAAATCCTTTTTAAGTTAATAAAAAAACTTTCAAAATAAAGTTTTGTTTTTCTGCTTCTTTAAAAAACTTTTGTACTTAATTAGTTTCCTCAATTATTTTAATTATTTTTATTTAAAGTAATCTCAAAAATTTCAGGACTTTATTACCCAAGTCAGTTTGTAAACCATTATTTTTACCATTTGTGACATAATAAGTTACATAAAAATACAACTCACAACTTTTGTTAATAGTTGAGAATTTTTTAATTTGTCAGGTTTTTTATCATCTACATGTTTTTCTGGTTTGTTGGGGTTTAATTTAGATTTTGACCAAATATGTTGAGAATTAATTTTGATAATGACTTCGGTTAGATTCCATTCTAATGCCATATTTAAGCCTTTAATTAATACTTTGACTTTGGTAGGAGTCATATCATATTTTAAGCACCTTGCATTTTGCTAATGAACTTACATTATATCATATAGTTAGTTAAGGATGCATTTTGTTGGATATTTCATATACTTTTTGCAGGATGACATTTTATGACTACCCACAAATTTATGCAACACTTTAATAGTATTCTTATTCATGGTAGGTTAATCTTATTTCCCATGTTATTATTTGCATATTTTAATATAGCCACAATTTTCAGCCTTCTAGCAACTAGCTAATCTCACTTTATTTTTCTTTTTTCAACATTTTTTTTTATTAGTGAATGTGATTTATAATCCTAGAAAATGAACTGGATTTTTGCTTAAATATTTAGCTGTTTATGTGTGCAGACATTTTTTAATATGAAGCTAGCCTTTTCCTATTTCCTTTAGTTGTTAGGGTGTCATCAATATGTATCCTCTTGCAATTGCAGAACTTTGTTAAAGAACATATCCTAGAAACCAGCTCATCGCCGCTGATGTTAGGTTCAAGTTAAAGTTTAAACATATATTATGTTGATTTTTATAAATAAACCGGCTAGACCAATAAAGGTCTAACCAGTTTATACGCATGCCTTTGTGGGTATGTTTATCAGAGGTCCTCCACCAGGTTGTTGTTTTAAGTTTTTACTTAAGAGTCTCTAATTCCTCATCTGCATCTTTTGTGGAGACAAGTCTGTTTTTTATCATCTTGAATAAAACATTGTGGTAGTAAAGCATTAGATTTTTCCATAAAGTAACAATCTAGGTAATAAAGAGACAAGTTTTTAAACAGATACCTTGTTTAAATCGATTCCATTTTCTTGGTTTCTTTGATGTTTAAAGCAGCCTTTATTGCTTTGAAAAGTTTACGCGTATTTGTTACTGATTTCCAGTTGTAAATTACAGTTGTTTATCTTTTTACCTTCATATATAACTGATTGTTTTATTTGCTATAAACTTGTATTCAAGTTTAATAGATAAAGATGCCACATCTGAATAAGTTTGTGCAACCAGAGATGTCTTAACATAGACGTTAAGATTTATCTTCTTACTGAATAATGCTGTTACATTAAATTACTGTTACTGAAAATTGCATTACATTACAGAATTGCATTGTCATTGATTCCAATGATGGATTGGTCATGAAGCCTATTTTCTATTTCTAATGAGAAAAATTCACAATCTTATCCTATTCAAGTCATACACGTGAGAAATCACAAATTGCGATATCTGTTATTTAAATTTTTAGTTTTTTAAAAACCAGTAATTCTGTTTTTATCACTTAACTCTGTACTAACTTTGACTCAATAGTTGTTATTCAATAAAAAATATTTATATTGATCTTGAAATTATGATATATAATCTCATCATAGGCCATATTATTATAATTATTATTTTTATTATTACTTTATTTATTGTTATTACTTTATTTATTAATATTATTATTATTATTATTAAATTTATAAATTTATTTGATAAATCCTCAAATAAAATTTAAAAAATAAAGCATGCAGTACGGTGTTATATTAAACATGAAACAACTGCAAATCACAACAGTCTTAAGGAATTTAACAATGATCTTTTTTATAACTTTTTTATTTATTTATAATACTTAAATTAACTGGTGTTTAAACAAACAACAAATTAAAGTTTTCACTGTTATTATTTTTGCAAAAGGTAATTTTTTTTTTTCGTTTTTTATTAAATTTTGCAGTATGATAAATTGATCATTTCATTAAAATAGTGTTCACAGTTTTAATTAAACTAAGAGTTTGAAGACCAGAAAAATTTCCAGATTTCACAATTTGCGATCACATATTTTGTGCCTTGATCTGCATGGATTCTTGATTGTCACAACAGGTTTTAACAATTTCATATTGAGCAAGTAGTAAACACTTTAAATGTCATTAGTTTTTTATACAAGTAACATTATACACAGTTTTTTATAATCTTTGGTGCTGTTAACTTTTCCATAGTCTTATAAGTTTTTATATTTATGGATTATGTTAATCATTTCTTTTTAAAAAATGTCTGTAGATTAAGGAATATGTAGTTTTGGGTAACAACTCTACATTTATAACTTTTTGCCATGTCTAAAAGAGAAAGGATATCATTAAAAAAAAACAGCCCAGGGATGACAACAATATTTTGAGCAAAGACAAATAAGAGATTTACAGAGTTAAAAAACAATAATAGAAGGCATCCTTAGCATATGTTAACTTTACAATGTATTGCATCTATGGTTTCTATGGAAGGTTGTAGTGATAAAAAAGTAATAAAAACAGTACACAAATTATTTAAATTATTATTTTGTTTTTATTTTTTTCTATTTCAATCTCTTTTTTTGTTAGTTTTGTTTTTTTGTTTTTGAAACTTTTTCAGCATTATTATAAAACTTGCAAACGGTCGTGTTCACGTTTTCTAAAATATTATAATCACGTATGGTCATACGAAACGAAAAACCGCACGCCTCTCCTGGGAAGGCTTGCATACTGTATATATATATATAAATTAGTAGAAAATCACTTAAAGAAATTTTTTCATTTTACACTGTGTTTCATAAATAAAGACTCATCAGAAATTTTGGATGAGTCTTTATTGGTCATACACAGTGTTGAATGAAAAGTTTTTGTTAAGTGAATTTCTAATATTTTTTTTGGCTCTTTTCTTTTAAGAACATTAAGCACTTATTTTGTAGAATGCATTCTAAAGTTGTTTATATATATATATATATATATATATATATCAACCCTCAGAATTAGGAAAAATGAGGTCGACAATAATTTGCAGACCTCAATCTTTTAGAGGATGGCATCAGGTTGGCAAATATAATTTGATACAAAGGTTTTACCATAAAACATAGAAACAAAGTTGGCAATATTTTGCCGACCTCAAACACATTCGGGTCGGCAATTAGGTCAGCATTGCCGAATGCCGACCCTAATTCTGAGGGTTGAAATAAATAATAAACATATATTTATATATGTGTATTTATAAATATATATATATATATATATATATATATATATATATATATATATATATATATATATATATATATATATATATATATTTATATACACTATTATATATATTTATATACACTATTATATATATTTATATTTATATACACACACATACATAATAATTAGCAAAGCTAGTATCACCACACAAACTACTACAGAGTTTTCATAAAATATCTTTAAAAATTGTCTTTAATAGAGACATTCCCATAAAATCACAAAGCAAATTTGATTTTAAATAATATAAAAACATTTAACAAGCTGCATTATAATTGACCAATTTTGAGAAAAGTCACAAAATTAGTTGATAATTTGACTAAAATCTTTTAGTAGGTTGCCATTGAAGACTAATAGATATAGCATTGTAAATTTTAAGTCATTTTTCTAGTCTTCTAAAAATTTTGATTTTCTATACAATCTCTTATTAAAAATCTCATATTTTTCAAATTCTGTTGTAATCACCTACAAAAAACAAAAAAAGACTTTAAAATTAATATTGAAAATAATTATTTTCAAGAAAAAAAAAGTAGAATTTAAAATCTATGCAAAAGGTATTCACAAAACTAGATTAACTTATGTCAGTACGTCAGCCGAGAACCAAGAGGCTATGTGTTCATTTTTTGTTACAAAGTAAATCAAGTTTTAAAATTTAATTTGTAAATGCTTTTTGCAAGAATGTCTAACTAATTTTTTCAATTTTTTTAAAAGTTGTATCATTCTTGAGACTAGATTTATTAGACACATACTTCATTGATTGTCGAATATTTATTGATAATAAACAGAAAAAATACAAAATGTGGACATATGGCCTCTTGGTTCTTGGCTGACGAGTAGTAAATAATGTTGTAAATACCTCTGAATCTGATGCTGGTACATTTTGAAATATATTTACATCATATTGTTACATCTGAAATATATTTTAAAAACATTTTTCAAATATGTTTTTAAATAGTTAAAAAAGCAAAATATTTTAACTTTTCTGCTTTATAATTTGTTTTTTAGAAATTAGAATCAAATTGGAGATGCGGTAGACATGGCCTTCTAAAGATACCATGTCATAGTGAAAATATTAAAGGAGTTTATTGTTTACAATACGATGATGAAAAGATTGTTAGTGGACTTAGAGACAATACAATTAAGGTAAATTTTAAGATAAATACTTTTTATTTCGTAAAATTTCATAAAAACAATTGTCGTAAATATGTTTTCAAAAGGAATTAAAGTGTACAAAAAAAAAAAAAAAAAAAAATTATAGCTCTAAATTTTGTTGACATTTACGTTTATTATTATATTACTTAAAAAAAAAAAATTGTTATAGCAATATAACAAATAATTTAATACAAATTTTTTTAAATTGAGCTGCGGTAATGAATGCAAATCAGGACTACAAAGTAAGTTACATGAATTAGTGATTGAAAACATAGAATACAGTAATTATATTGCTTGAGAATAAATAGGAAAATGATTCTAAAATCTATAAGTTGGTGTTCTAGAAGTTTAGATTAGAAGTTTACATTTTCATTAATACTAATGCTACATTTGTATTCATTAAAATGTGCTTATGTTTTTAGTTATTTACTTGTTTGAGACAAACATGAGAACACAACCTATAGAACACTAAAAACATTTAAATGAGTATTGTTACTTAGAGCATTAGGACAGAAAAATGTTTGATTGTTCATGTTTTTATGTGTTAATGCTATTTAAAGTTTTATGAAAGTGAAAGGTTTATTGTTATTTACAGCTTTGGGACAGAAAAACACTAGATTGTACACAAGTTTTACACGGACATACTGGGTCTGTCTTGTGTTTGCAATATGATGAAAATATAATTGTTACTGGATCAAGTGATGCAACTGTAAGGTATGATATCTTCAAGTAAAGTTATTCAATTTTCATAACTGAAAATATTTATATTAATATACGATATAATATTAGCTATTATCTCCATTAGAACTATTAATATACTTATTAGTTCCTTTTGCATGCTCTTATAGAATATGGGATGTTCATTCTGGAGAAATGCTTAATACACTTATTCATCACAGTGAAGCTGTTTTACACTTGCGCTTTCAAGATGGTTTGATGATTACATGTTCTAAAGATCGCTCTATTGCTGTATGGGGTTTGCAATCAGCTACTGACATAACTCTTCGTAGAGTTTTAGTGGGTCATCGTGCAGCTGTAAATGTTGTTGACTTTGATGATAAATATATTGTTTCTGCATCAGGCGACCGAACAATAAAGGTGATTTTTATTTAAATGAATTTGTTGTTTTGATGCATTGGTATTTGGGCAAGTTATTTTTTTTTATATTCCTCAGTAAGTTTTTACTGAGGAATATAAAAAAAATGTTTATAGAAGGTTTTTGTTGGGGAAATTACTCTAAAACAGTGTAGCTTATCTTTAAAAATAATTTTAAGAGTTTTTTTAATAAAATAAAATAAAAACCAGTTTGATTTTATTGCATAAAAAACACAAAGACAAATCTTGTATAAATTATTTTTACCCATTTTATGTAAATTTTTATTTATTTTTTTTTACTGGTAGTTATTTATACTATTCTTTGTTTATTTATATCTGTGTTTAATTAAAACTTTATTCAAGGTATGGAATACTGGTACATGTGAGTTTGTTAGAACATTAAGTGGACACAGACGAGGGATTGCTTGTCTTCAATACAGGGGCACTTTAGTTGTAAGCGGCTCTTCTGATTTCACAATAAGGTAATGATTAAATTGTGTTATTTGAGTTTTAATTAAAACAGATAAACATTGTCAAGCAATTTTTTTCACCCAATCGTTATCGCAATAATTTAGACCTTCCTATATTTATAAACGGTAATGTACTCGATGAGTCTCCTACCCTTCATCTTCTAGGATTAACTCTCACTTCTGATCTTTCTTGGAAACCTTATATCAAATCCGTTGCAAAGTTAGCATCTGCTAAAGTTGCATCTCTTTATCGAGCTCAACACTTTCTTATTCTGGATTCTATTCCCTATCTCTATAAATCTCAAATCTGACCTTGTATGGAATACTGTTGCCATATCTGGGGCGGATCTTCTAATGATGCCCTTTCTCTTTTAGACAAGGTGCAAAAACACATTGTAAACATAGTTGGACCTGCTCTTGCAGCCAACCTTCAACCTCTGTCACATCGTCGTAATGTTGCTTCTCTTTCTCTTCTCTACAAATACTATAATGGGCACTGCTCTAAAGAGCTAGCGTCTCTTGTGCCATCTACTAAAATTCATTCTCGTGTTACTCGTCATTCAATTAAGTCTCATCCTTTTTCTGTTACTGTTCCTAAGTGCTCCAAAAACTCTTATTCGTCTAGTTTTTTTCTTCAAACATCAGTTCTTTGGAATTCGCTTCCTTCATCTTGCTTTCCTGATTCATATAATTTGCAATCTTTTAAGTCATCTGTCAATTGTTATCTTGCTCTACAACCTTCGTCTTTTCTCTTCCAGTAACTTCCAACACTAATTAGTGGTTGCTTGCAGCCTTTTTGGAAGCGAAGATGTTAAAAAAAAAAAAAAAGCATATAAAGTCTAAATAAAAATGGACTTTAATTTCCTAATTGATTAAGTTAGCAGCTTAACACTGATTGGTTAATGACTCTTATTTGCGTTAGCAGTTCAACACTGATTGATGAACGACTTTTATTTAGGTTAGCAGTTCAACACTGATTGGTTAATGATTCTTATAATGCTTTTTAGTTCAAGTTGCAGAAAAAGTTGAAAATAATTTATTTCATTGATTTGACGCCATCTTTATATTGTCTTCTTTAATTTTTGTAAATTTTGTTATAGTATAACTATATTACATTATTTTATTGTATTACTTAGCATTAGTGTATTTCTCTTGGCTGTCTATGGTATTAAGTCAGATTTGTTTGGGTTAAATTAATTATGGAAATTAAAACAAAACAAAAAAAAGGAAATGTTAAGTTGTGAATAATAGGCTTGTAAATCAGTAATCAGAGTATATGGACAATATTACAATTTAGGAAACGTAGAGATAACTAATGGTGAACAACCTTAATCCATGCATGTTTGGGTACATGATGGAAAAGAGGCACTTAATTATAAGTTAAAGTTGAAGAATTTGCGATAAATTTCATAGTGGCTTAGTTTCAGTGTTAGTATCATAGCGGGGTTCAGATTTGAGAAGAGTCATGAAAATAATTAATTTCAATAAAAGAAGTCATGGGACTTAAAAATAAGTAAGAGAAAAAGGATGTCCAAATAAGGAATGTGTTTTGACAAATATGTGACATTGACAGAAAAAGTGGATAAGTATGTTTGTATTAGAGTTGTAAAGAATAGATATAATACTGTAAATGTAGCTAAGGTTGCCTTCTTATTTCCTAATGAAAAAGGTTGTCCTATGAGAAAAATACATAGATTCTCACCAAGTAGCAATATTTTATGATATTCTGTTGGTCAACTGATCTACTAAAACTAAAGCAACAAAACAGCAATAGAAAGTTAACAATTAAATAGCAAGCGAGCATTTATCTGTTTGAACAAAATAATGTTTGTAATCCAATGTTGCATGCAAGAAGATTGTTTCAGGAATATTGATAAATACCTTTAAAAAGAATCAAATGATTTAAATTGGTATTATCAGAATCATATGAATTTTTGATTGGAGTGTTTTAATGATTTACAACATCATATTGAGAACATCATATTGCAACAGCATCATATTGCAGACTGTGAAAGCATGATTTCAGGAAAAAATAAATATACATGAACTTTGTCAACACATTACTGAATAGGAGAAATGCTTTGTTTTTCACAATGACAGTGAATCCTAAATAGTGGAAAACCTTGGCCTATATGAAGTCACAAGTAATAAAACTGATTTGGTTGCAACAGTCTTATTAAGATGGCTATTCTGTTGATCATTTAAAAAAAAAAAGAAAATTAAAGATAAACCTTTATATATTTTTTTAAGATGCAAAGCATTAGGGTACAAAAAGTTATTAATATAATGCTAGACAATTTTTTTCTTGTTTTTTTTGAACATATATATGTCTTCACAAAAGTATTTATATTAAAATGTTTGTATATTAATATTATTTTATACTTAAAGTATAAAAAACTAAAAACTAAAAAGGGCTTTACTGTTACTATAACTACTTTACTATCAAAATTTAAATATAAAAACTTTTAATTATTTTAATTATGCATTAACATACCAAAAATATATTTTAAAAAAATGCAAAGCACCAGTTTAATTTGTGGCACTTGTTTTTTACAACTTTTATAGTTAAAATTTTAACATTAATGTAAATTGAAAATAATACATTTTTAGTGAGCTTAAAAACAAATGTAAATAAATTATGCAAGCCTAAAGTATTTTGTATAGGTCTTATAAAACTTTTGGGAAAGAAAAAAAAAAAATTTAATAATTAAAATATCCTTTAAACTTATTTGTTTATTACAGACCAAGATATAATGAATATCTGAAAATATTTTAAATGTTACAATTTTTTTGTTCCAAATTTTTATAGGATCTTATAAAACTTTAATGACTCAGGATATTTTGAATTTTTTAAAATTTAACCATTTCTTATTTTATGTTCATAGGTTATGGGACATTGATTGTGGTTCTTGCTTAAGAGTTTTAGAAGGTCATGAAGAACTTGTAAGGTTGAAATATTAGCTAAAATACTTTTTCAATCAATAAGTTATTTAAAATAAATTTTTATTTTACATACTTATTAGATTTTATATTTATTATTTTGGTAAATGGAGTTTGATTAATTTTTTGTTGGTGTTGTTGTTGTATTTAACTGTAAAATTATGATATAATAATAAAAACACGATCAACAGTAATTAGAAATAAATTGACAGTTTCACTATGTAAATATATGCTCTCTCTCTCTCTCTCTCTCTCTCTCTCTCTCTCTCTCTCTCTCTCTCTCTCTCTCTCTCTCTCTCTCTCTCTCTATATATATATATATATATATATATATATATATATATATATATATATATATATATATATATATATATATATATATATATATATATATATATATATATATATATATATATATATATATATATATATATAGCATATATATATAGCATATATATATATATAGCATATATATATATATAGCATATATATATATATAGCATATATATAGCATATATATAGCATATATTTACATGGTGAAACTGATAAACTTTGAATAAACCTATGTGTTAAATATTTAAATTTTTTTATAAATTAAAAAATTCAAATTGGTGTAACTTTGATTGATAGAAAAATTTGTAGAACTTCATTATAAAAATGCAATCATGCATGAAATAGTTGAACATCTATGTCACTGTATATAATTATGAACATTTAATTATATCAATGTATTTAAAAATTTTGGAATTTATATAGAAATAGAAAAAATTGAATATTAATATAATTTTTTACAGTCATTAACAAAAATTTAAGACCACCTAGTTGTAATATGGTTAATGTGTGATTGGTGCTCATTGTTGCACCATACTAAATTGGATGACATATTAGCATGCTATAACCTATTGCTATTGCATCAGCCACTATTTACTCGTAATTTACAATTGAAACAGTGTTGCCAGTGTTATTTTTACTTTGTTAATAGGCAAAAAAATCATCTAAAATTGTTAATTTAATGAAGGATATTTAAAACAGCAAGTTAGTATAAAGTGAGTTACAGTATAACTGCTATGCACACTGCAATTGTAAATTTCAAAACTTCTAGCAGTTTTTGTGACAAGAGGAGATCCAATGCAAACCAGTCTTAGAGATGACTACTTTACCGCAGAATAATATGTGCTGCTGTACTTCAGACACATATAGATATCAGTTTCCTGATGTCTGAGGTTTGAGTATGGTTTTAAATTATATTTAAGACTGCACTCAAGCTTTACTCAAAAAGTTATATTAAACTAGCTCGTAAACTGCAGTTAACCGCTGTTATGAAATCAAAGCATATGATACATTTGCCAAAAAATATTAAACCTGGACAGCTAAAGACTGGAACAGAGTTATGTTTTCAGATGAATCCACTCTTCAACAGCTTGTTACTCACAAAAGACACATAAGTCCCCTAGGTAAAAGATTTCAGGATTGTTGCACAATTCAAACAATGAAACATCCACCAAGTCCAATAATTTGGGTCGCTATGTCAAAATTTGGGACTGCTGAACTCTATTTTTTGCCACAAGATACGACTATAAATAGAGCCAAATTTGTGGAACTGCTACGAGCAAATTGCAGTTGTGCATGACCATTTTAACGCATGACAAAATTCCACATGAGGCTGCTCAACCTTCAAAAAAAATCAAAGTTTCAATCCTGGATTGGCCTGGAAACAGCACAAACCTCAACCCTATCTAAAATCTCTGAGAGATAATGAAGAACAAGGTTGTAGACAAACAGTCATCAAGCATCAAATCATTGAAAGAAGCATCAAAGGAAGTTTTGAAAAAAAAAATTTTTTTTGGTTGATTGTACTTAGTAACAAAAATTTCAGATCTGTTGTTTTTAACTTGAAAATGGTAGAATTGCAGTCATTAACAAAAAGAGGTCTCAAACTTTTTGTTAATGACTGTACATTTGATGAGTTATGGTTTTATTTAAGAAAAATCGGACACTATACTCGCCAGACTTAACTCCATCCTATTTTCGGTTATTCGACTTAACAAAAAAAAATCTTGATTACTATATTGGTTACAAAGTTACTTACTTAGCGTACCCAAAGTAAAGTATAAAAAAGCCTTAAACTTGAAAACGTTTCCTTGAAAAAATGCGTATAATATATAATTATGGACATTATATTGAACATTTATTAAAATAAATTTTAAAAAATGCTTCTTTTTTTTATTTTTATGGTTGATTCTACAAACCTTTCTACCCACCTAAGTACTTTATTTTCAACATATTTCAGTATACATTTGCAACTTGAATTTTTATTTAAATTCTCTGTAACAGAAATGTTTCTGAAAGTTTATTTATAATTATAAGCAACTAAATTTGCTTCTGAAACCATTGTTTACATTATTCTCTTAAAATTTTTAGACAGTATTTAAAAACTAGCAAAACTGTTAAAACTATAAATATTAAATCTTGACTCTTAATCTAAACTAAAAGCTTTTTGAAATAAAAAAATCTTGACTTACAATTTTTACACAGTTATTTTTAACTTTTTAAATTTTTTTATCCTTTTAAAGAATTTTTTAAATAATTTTTCATTTTAAGTTTACAAAAACATGCTTTTAACATTATTATTGATAGTGATTAACCGGAATTCTGTTCATTTGTGTTTGAATTAAAAATATTTTGTATGAAACATTTTGTAAACAAAAATTATTTATAGTTGGATTTATCAATTTCAACCAAGATATTTTTAAGGTATCTTTAAGTTAAATTAGATTCTTGGTTTTATTTTTAATGCCAGTTCGGATCTAATTATGATACTAGTTAGAAAATTCAAATACATAAGTATTCTTGTGTTGTTCAAGAAATATAAACTTGACAATTTAAATTTTTCAACTTCCCCTTTTGTTGTATTGCTTAGTTGTGTTATTTTTGTTATTTTATTAAAATATTATCTCGTTAATGTTTTATAGAATTAGCATTTATATGTGCAATACACATACTTGTAATGCTTAAGAAATTAATTAGACTTTTCTTCTTGTAGAAGTATTTAAATTCAGCTTTTGTGTAATGTAATCTGGTTGCTACTGATGCAGACAGGATTTAAACTTTAGATAAAATTTATCTTACTTTTTGCGAAATTTCTTTTTTATTAAATAGATTATTAAGTTATGAAGATTTCGTGTTTCACTTTGGTATAATTATGAAATTTTAATATTGTCTAATAAATTTTTTATTTAGGTGTATTCGTTTTGATGGTAAACATATAGTGAGTGGGGCGTATGATGGAAAGATTAAAGTTTGGGACTTACAAGCTGCTCTTGATCCACGCAAACCAAATTCTTCTTTATGCATAAGAACATTAATGGTATATATTTTTTTAAAAATTTTAAAACATAGTTTTGTTTAAAAACCATACTATCATCTAAAACCATTGCCACTATCAGATTATCATTACCAAAAATAAAATTTATCAGTTCTGTCTAAACACGTCCTGTCAGACCTTATCAGACTAGTCAGAACATGTTTAACATCATAAAAAACGATATATTAAGATTACTGTTGTCTTTTTTATTAAATTAAAGCTTCAATTATGAAATAATAAACGGAAAAATAATTTATGATTTTCGTTACACGAAAATTCTTATACATTTATAATATTTTTATTTTAGTGTTTAAATTGATCTTTTAACATAATTGTTTTAAAAAATTGGAAGTTTGATTTATCAGTTGCTATAATAAAATAATATGACCTATTATTTTATAGAAACTGATATAATTTGATTTATCAGTTACTATAATATAAAGTAATGTTTTAGGAACACCAAGGTCGAGTTTTTCGGTTGCAGTTTGACGACTTTCAGATTGTTAGCAGTTCACATGATGATTCTATTTTAATATGGGACTTTTTAGATACACAACCTCAAGACAATACAAAAGGAATGCATGCGTATGCGCGCAAGTTAACCCATACGTGTGAATAGAATTCTTTGATAAGTTTTCATCATTTGGATATAACAATTACAAATCAAATGGGACGTCTAATTAGCGCTTTTATGAAATCTTAGCGGCTCATTAATGAGCGTTGCTATGGTGATTCACTTATATACTGTTCCAATAGAAAGTTACGTTAGTGGGTTATATTTTATATCGATATTAATGTCCGATTGATAAATTATATTCGGGTAAAATAGTATTCTAACAATTCTGTCAGGTTTTTTACTCATAAATAATAGGCTTTTTATTGACAAATTATAAAAATTATTTAATGTTTTAAAATGTCTCGATTATAGCGTTTATATTTTAGTAAGACTTTTAGCACTTATTATTAAAAGTTATAAGTATAGTTACGAGTCTTCATATTGATTCGGCTCAGTTGGATAATGCGTTGTGGAAATCGCGATTACCGTAGCCGTAGGATTGTAGGCTTAAATCCGAACCCCATCAGTTAGCGTTTGAAACAATACAAAAGAGACTTGCCTCGATTAGCTCTGTTATTGCAATTTTTACAGTTAATCAAATAAATAAAAACCAATTTAAAAAATGGATTACGTTTTCTTGAAATGCAGCAAAGAAAATTTAAGGCTTTTACAGTTAAACATATAAGTTGACTTCCACTTCCAAAAAAAGAGTCAACATAAAAAAGTTTGTTGTGATTAATCGGACTTCAGGTTTTTTAGACCGACGCACAGTGGGGCACTTGTTAGATTAGGAAAATTTACTCCATAGGTTTTTAAACATTTATTTACAATTGTCAGACGTTTTTAATGTTTTTTCAAATAACGTTTTTTTAAAAACCAGTATATGATAATAGAAAGAAGAAGAAAATCAAAAGCTTGCATAAATAAATAATATTAAAACGCGCTCTAACCGATTCACTAAAGTAAGTTACAGCAATTCGAGTTTAATGTAAAAAGTCACTCAAAAAAAGTTACTCGAAAACTCGAAAAAATTAGTTTTAATCTTACTCGGTGTAGTTAAGGCGATTTACAAAATATTTGAATACTTTTATTTGGAATTAGCATGGTTTTGTCAGCATATTATGCCCAAACAAGATCTTTAAATGTTATAATTTTTTTTGATTAAGGTTTTTATAATATTTGAAGAAACTTTTCTTTTTTATATATAACTTTTAAAATCTTTTCACAACCCGTTATAATGTATCTAAAGAACACTATTTTGAAGTCTTTAGATCAATTCCGCTCATCGACATTAACATGAATTCAGTTAAAATCTTTTTAAAAAGTTACTTAATTTACTACTGATCCTAGTTCTAATCGGTTCTAACGTATATTAACTATATATAGTTGTCAAAACACAATATTTCTATCAATTTTCACAAAAAATACTAGTATTCCGACCAAGAAAGAGCTTATAATTATAAATAATTGCCAATAAACTATCAGAAAAGATCATATTGTTAAACTATAATGTTCATTTCACCTAAAAAACGTATTAATATAAAATCTTATTTAAATTTGGACGAGCGATTGTGATTTGAAGATGGTTTTTTTTAAAAAAAAAAAGAATACACGGTCTGGGTTTTTTCGCTACAAACATTTATATTTTATGATAGCGCAAAATTTATTATTTTAATTTTTTTCGTCTTTTCATAATTCACAGGCCAGACCATTTCACGGAAATATGTCATAGTCAATAAATTATCATATAGACGCTATAATATTTTAAAAGTGCCTTAACTACACCGAGTAGCAAAATAAAGTTTAGCAAATTTCACTATAAATAAAAGAACGTCATTAGTTCATGCGTTCATGACCTGGTTTCGTTACTTGGTTTTTACTGATGTAATTGACACATTTCCACTATTATGCACTAAAAAGGCTCAATAAGTGCACACAAATTCGCAAAATCTAAAAAAAAAAGTATTACTCCCAATTACTCAATACATTTAAAAATGACACAAAACGCATATGGCAAATAATGAATGAAACTATTGGAAAACAAAAATCATGCTCAGGTTTTCTGCCACAAATGGTTAGAGTCGATAACAAAAGTTTATAAGAACCAAGAACTATAGCTCAAGAATTTAACAAATTTTTTATCGATATGGGTCCAACACTTTCTAAAAAAATCCCTAAGACCAAATCTTTATTTACTGATTTTCTAGTACCCATTGATAATTGCATTGGTTCAGTTGAATTGTCTTCTGAATTATTGTTTGAAAGAGCCTTCAAATCGTTAAAAAAAAAAAAAAAAAAAAGCAATTGGAGCAGATCAAATAAATGGAAACGTTATTACAGATTGTTTTGAACAGCTAAAAGTTGTTCTTTTTAAAGTTTTTAAAGCTTCTATCCATCAAGGTGTTTTCCCCGAACTGTTAAAAATTGCCAAAATTATTCCTATTTTCCAAGAAGGGGACAAATCAATTATTAGTAACTATCGCCCTATTTCTGTTCTTTCTACATTTTCAAAAATTTTAGAAAGAATTATATATAACAGAGTATACAAGTATTTTCATGTTAATAAATTACTTTACATTAATCAATTCAGTTTTAAAAAGGATAGCTCAACTGAACATGCAATTATCCAATTTGTACGTGAAATCTCAAAATCATTTGAAAAATCACAATATACTCTAGGACTTTTTAGTGATCTATCAAAAGCTTTTGATACGGTTGATTACCGAATTCTAATCTATAAACTTAAACACTATGGAATAAAAAATAAAGTTTTAAGATGTTTGAAAGCTATTTGACAAATCGTAAACAATTTGTTCCGAGTAATGACAGTTATCATACCAATAGTTTTTCTATAACATGTGGAGTCCGACAAGGCTCAATTCTTGGTCCACTCCTTTTCCTAATTTATATTAATGATTTAAATAAAGCCTCTAAACTAACAAGTATTATGTTTGCAGATAATACTAACTTATTCCTTTCTAACAGTGATATCTTTGAACTTTTTAAAACAATGAACAAAGAGCTTATAGATGTATCGAGTTGGTTTAAAAGTAATAAGTTAATTCTAAATTCTAATAAAACAAAGTGGACCTTATTCCATTCGCTTTCCAAAAAACGGTATTTGCCATTAAGCTTACCTAAAATTTTTATTGATCAAAATGAAATAAAAAGGGATTTCGTAACAAAATTTTTAGGTGTTTATCTTGATAAAAACATCACTTGGAATCATCATATCGACTACATAAGCACTAAAATTTCAAAAAACATAGGAGTTTTATATAAAGCACGAATCTACCTCAATAAGAAAATTTTAATCAAACTTTATTATTCATTTATAAACAGTTATTTAAATTATGCTAATATCACCTGGGCCCAGGTTGTTCTGTACTACCCCATGGGGTAGTACAGAAAAAAGTAAGTTGCAACGTCTTTATCGCCGTCAGAAACATGCTATCCGTTTAATCTGTTTTGCAAATCGCTTTTCTCACGCAAAACATTAGTTTATTGAAATGAGAATTTTAAATATATACGAGCTAAAGATATATAATGTTTTATGCTTTAAAACTTTAAAGTTTCTATTGTGTCTTACTCCTAATTGTATAAAGTACATTAATAATATTGTAAACTTTACTATATTTTAAGTGTGAATTGTGTAATGTACATTATACAATTGAGTCAAACGCAATGGAAAAACTTCAAAGATGAAGTTATAAACTTGTAAATAAGTACACTCTAATGACTGTAGTTAAAGAATCGCTTAAATAAACTACTCTTTGCACAGCGAGGCAGAATTGCTTCAAAACTGGACATTTGACAAAAATGAAAAAGAGCGTTATGAAATATTTTTGGTGATAATGTATAAAAGAGTCTCTGGTCCATATTATCTACCTTATTCTTTCTGATCTTGAACCTATAGAACCTATAATCTCGCTCAATTCTTTTGTTAAAAAAAAAAAGTTATAAGTACTACTTTGTTTTTATACCTATTGGTATTGTGATAAAGCTGAAGTTTGTTTAAAGTTCGAAAATTTTTTCAGGAATTCTTTAATTTTAGATTTTTTTTTTTTAGGACTATCTTTTGCTAATGAAAAAATAATTTTAATTTGCTCAAAATATATATTAATAGGTCTTTAAAAAAAAGGTGCATTTAAGATTTTTTCAAACAACACGCTTTTTGTTTATATCACTTAGTGTATCTAAGTTGGGAACTGCCGATATAAATCCTAAAAATGTCTTCTTTAACTTTAGTTTTTTAAGGTATAGTTTTTTTTACAGTGAACTTTTGATATGGCTAATATTAAAAATAAAGTTTCTTTAAAGCAAATTTTTCTCAAAGTCTTTTCTAAACCAGTTGCTGCTTTGAATTTCCAAATTCTTCTGAGAAAACTCATCGTTATGCAAAAACGTCATAGTTGGCATACTATATTGAGGTTCTGATCCTGTATAACTCTAAACGCTTTTTGCCATAAAGGCTGATTAAACGTAATATAGAGAGTAATGATTATATATATTTTTTGGCTTCATCAATAATAAACAAAGTGTAGAGTAACAGTGTAATATATAAAACCTGACCAATTTGAGCAAGGATAATTTTTCGAAGTAAAAAAATCAGGCCACATGTCATATAAGATCAAGAATCATTTCACAAAATATTTCAGGTACAATTTATTTTTAAAAAAGGCTTAAAAATTACTTGTAATAAACCGCGATAGCTTAATCCGTGATAAGGCCTTATCTTTAAAGGCATACCAGATAAATTTGTAAGATACTTGTGCTTCAAACGTGGTTTAATAATTGCATTTAGAAGAAGGCCATATTAATATCAAACTTATTTCATTGAAACGTTCCTTTTCCGGCTAATGTGAAAATGTTGTGATCTACATAGTCAGCAACCTATTCTAGAAAATTTGGCTTCTTGTTCTTGCTCATCATTTACTGCAGCAGATAACTTAAACAACTTAAACACTTTATCAGAAGATATTGAAAATCCAAATCTAGCAGAGTGATCTTCAAGCCATTTAGTTCCAAAAGTTTTATTAATAAAACTATACCGATCCCAAAAGGAATAGGTGCTATTATAGATCTTGGTCGTGAAGCTTGAGCAATGCATTGTTCTAAACTAGTCTGTTGAAGCTTTAAATAAATTAAATGGCCTTGAAATAACTGGAAGCTTTATGAAATCCATTTAAGCCCATATTCAGTATTACCCATATTCTTTAGTGACGGATATGAAAATTTATTGATATTTTTTTTTTCATTTTGCTTTTAATTATGCTTTCAGCGGCAGCTATGATATCATTTTTAGATCT